TCGGCTTTCCTTCGGCATCATCTTCACGAAGGATAACCCGAGCAGGGCCTTTCCATCTGACCTTCACCAAGTCAGCTGCACGTGCATCACGCCAGTACCAACAAATCTGGCCCGGCTGCAACAGCATGTTTGTGCCAGAGTAGCGCCTGAGAAGTGCTCGTCGAAGTCGTTGATCTTGGTCTGCTTTGATCAAGGCTACCTTGGCTGCTGAACGCTTCTCCAGGGTCTGCTCGAAGTTGGAGCCATCCAAGTGAGATGGATTCAGACCTTCGCTGGTCAGGTCGCCAGCAAAGTCAGGCTGATAGCCTAGGACCCATTGAGTGGGAGAGTACCCCGCCACCGTTGGAGAAGAGTTCACCTGGGGCAGCACATAGGCCAAAGCTTGTCGAAGTCCATCAACATCTTTGAGACCACGATCGTTCATGTAGATCTCCACTGCCTTGCGTAGAACTTGGTGACGTCGTTCTACGGCACCCAAACGTGTGTGGGCTTCTCCCGGTGCTACGGTGTGGAGAATGTTGAGCTCAGCCAGGAAGTCGATCATTTCCTCATGAAGCCAGCCACGTCCTTCATCTGTGATGAGTTCCTTCGGCATGCCAAAATGGCGGAACCATCCACGTTCCAGTGCCTTCTGGTAGTTGGAAGCTTTCTCGGCCTTCACAACAGCTGCAGCTTGGTACTTGGTCGCCAAGTCAATGAAGTGGACCACAGGGATCTTGTCCTTGTCCAGCTTAATCCACATCACATCGGCCTGCAGCTTCTCGTTGAAGTGTGAGGCTTGAGGAAGGGCAGCAGGGGCTGCTGTGTTGGGCTTCCGGTACCGTTCACAGGCACTGCAGTGAAATTCTCTGGCTACCTTGAGAACCTCTTCAGAAGCACCACGGGATTCCAAGAGCTCGATCAGGGCCTGTTTGGGAGGATGGCCCAAGTTCCTGTGCAGTCTTTGAACTGTTCTGACTGCTTCCTGCCTGTTGCCGCTGAGCAGCTTGATCAAAACTCCAGTCTGCTCGCGCTCTTCAGAGACCGCACCAGCAAAGTCATACAGTTGGGGAACCTCAGGCACCATCAAAGCCGCTGCCAAGATCGAGGCCATCGACGGCTGATAGCTTTCCATGTACCGAGTTCGAAGTCCAAGACCCGGTGCATGGCCTTCAAGTGCACAGTGTTGATGATCCCCTTGACATCGAAGTTGAAACTCCTTGTACACACTCATCTTGGTGGTCATCAGGCTGGTGGTCTTTCGAACAGGTTTCCAAAGTCCATCCCTGTCCAAACATTCACATCCATAGCGACACTGATCAAAGGTGCATCGAAAACCACGCAGCTTGCTCAAGGAAGTGGTCTTCCATGAAAGGGCCGGTGCAGGCTGTTCCACGTGTGCGTGGCCACCTTGAAGAACTTGGGTCTCGTAGACCTTTCTCACAAACTTCAAATGTACTGCATGATGCCATTCTCGAAGTTCTTGCAAGGATTCCTGCTGCTCCAAGGTCTTGGCGTTGAGGTTCTGCATGGGGCTCCAAGGGCCACAGGATGGTGCCAGCAGCACCTCATCTGGAACTTCTGCTTGAAGTCGTTGGAGGAACAACTTGCGGTGCTCGGCAAGGTCAAAGTCCCATCCAGTGGAGTATCCAAAGATCTCAACTTGGGCACCCAGGCTTTCAGCAATCTTGGAGACACGGCCTTCACTCGTGTAGACCTCCCAGATCACTCGAGGCTTCGGCTCAGCATGAAGTTCTGAGGTCACATAGCCGTGGAGCTCGTTATGGGCCTCGCAGATGATCTGGTCGCAGGTTCGAAGTAGATGACGTGGAACAGGTAGTTCACCATCGGCATAGGTCTCGGCCTTGAGGTCGTCATCCACAGTGATGAAGGCAGATTCCTGTTTGCAGAACTCCTCATAGCCAACAGGTCGTGGATCCAGGTCGCCATCAGGAGCCAGTTGCAAGTCAAACTGGAGAGGCAAAGGCTTCGACCAGTCCACAGGTTCAGCAGGATCCCAAAGTCCAAGCAGGTATTCTCCATGTAGGCCGATTGTGGCTGGTCGCCAGGGTCCATTGCGCAGCTTGATCTGCTTCTTCTCGAAGTCCATCGTGATCCCCAGCGCTTCAATGATGGGGCGTCCACAAAGCAAAGGAGTCTCACCAGCCAACAAAAAGACTTGAGCTCGGCCATGGTTGCGACTGATGCACATTGGAAGTTCAACAGCCCAATGTGCCCAAGATTCACCATCACCTCCAAAATGAAACTTGTGCCTGCATCGGAAAAACTTCACATCAGCCACTGGGTAACCTTGTTGTCGGAGAAAGTCCAAATACCGACGAACAGGTCCATAGCCGCTGAGGTATGCTGAAGCTCCAGGATCCAGCATGGTGACATCTGGCCTCTCAGCGCCAGTCTGGTCCTGGAAGGTGACATGGGCGTTCTCCAGCATCGCCACACTCTCAGTTGCAGCTCGCTTGGTTCCCTTTGGACTCGAACTGCCTTGGGACTTGCTTGGCATGGGGCAGTTCACAGCGAAGTGTCCAGGTTGTCCACAGCGAAGACAAGTGAGTGCAGCTTTAGAGCGTCCTCGAGGGTCAGCAGGCTTCATGGGGCTTTTGTTGTAGTGGTAAGTTCCCGACTTACCCTTGGAAGGCTTGCCCTTCGATTTGCCCTTCTTTCCTTTGGAGGACGGGCTGCCAGCAGGGGAGGTCACACCAGGGGCCAAGTTGCCAGCCGCAGGGTCATTCAAGGCGACCACCGGGAGGAATCCTCGAGCCAGCTTCAGGTCGGAGAAGCGACGTCGAGCATCCACATAGGCTGCATAGACCTCATCATAGGTGTCCACGTCCTGCAAGACAGTCTCAGATGGATCGCCAGTGGTCTCCTCGTACTGGTAGTAGGCGGCCTGAGCATCAAACTCATCGGCATCTTCCCATTCATCATCGTCGCCACCATAGCACGAAGGTGATCCATCATCGCCCTCATAGTAACCCCATTCATCAGTCCATTCATCCCCATAGTTGTTGTAGAGCTCTTCAGTGTCCGCCGCATCCACAGCCACATAGCCACGGTTTCGACCACCCTTTCCAAAGCCACGTCGGTCATGAAAACCAGCCTGCGTTGTGTGCTTGTAGTCCTGCCCAAGCACCAAGTACAGGGCTTCAGTGACCTTGGAGATTTCGAGCTGCGGTGCTCTCGGGGTGATCAACTGCTTCTGCTCCTTGGTGAGGTTGCAGCGTCGTAGAAGGTGCCAGCCCTGCACGGCATTGGGCAGGTCCACGCCATGCTTCGACAAGCGCTTCAGGTGCTCGTTGTGGAGCGTCACAAACTCCATCAAGGACTGCCCAGATCTTCTTGAAAGCCCAAAGTAGGCATCGAAGTCTGCCGGCAGCTGCACCCGGCTGTCGTACTCGAAGTGCTGGTCCAGGATCTTCAGGATGCCTTCAAAAGATCCTTCCTTCTCAGCTGTCGTCACGTCGAAGTCCTCCATCAAGCGCCATGCAGCGCCAGTCAACGTGCTCACCAAGTTGATGACTGCTTCACCACGGCGATTGCTCAGAGCCATCTTTGCATGGTACAGCTGTATCCTTTTCCTCCATTCTCTATAGTCAGCCGGCTGTCCCGTGAACACAGGGATGTAGGAGTCGCGCTGTGTTGGGCTCTCCGGTGATGTAGCGGCAGTTGACATTCCTTAGGAAGTCCTTACCTTCGAATTCAGTGATCCAAATCAGGTGCTGGAAGATCTAAGGGCCGTTGGTATACTGTAAGAGGTCCAGCACTTGGATCAGCGCAGCAAGGCCAGCGGAACGGCTGGCTCCGCTACCAATGCAAAAGCCAGGGATATGCCAACCCAGCTCCAAGCCCAGCCGCACGAGGTGCTAGGCTGCCAAAGCAAAAGCGCCTTTTCAGGCCAGCGTAGCCATGGTAGCACGTGCGAACCCACCCTGAGCCATTAGCGGCGGTGGTCGGCAACTGCAGGGGTGAAAACCACATATGGCATGGTTATGCGATAGGTGCATGGCATGCAACTTCACAGCTATAATTACCATGCTCACAGCCATTTGTTTTACCCCAGCTGCACCCCCAAGTACCTGAAACTGGCCATAAACAATGACCATCACGCGGTTGATCAAGTTGAGCTGGATAGCTAAGTTGAATCATCGCCTGGTTACCTAGGGTTTACGGGTACAGATATATTTAATGGGCTTTATAAAAAAAAACTACCTTATAACTTATGAATGGAGGGTCTCACCTTGCAGGTGGAAATCATCCCAAGCTTGGTGGAAGCTACATGACATGTCCAAGCTGTCTCCTGGAATCTCCATGTCGACTACAAACTTGCTATAAACTCCCTCGTTTTTTTTTCAAAAATCCCTGGTTTCTGCCTCCATCAACTGCCTCCCACTGCATCTTTCCCCGGCCTCATCATTGCCATCACGGTGCATCTTTGGCATCTCCTGTGCCGCATCCATCGTATCAAGGTCGCCAGCTACACCGGAAGGGCGAAAAATCACTTTGCGGCTGCATGTTTTTCATACTTCATTCTTACTATGTATAGATATATATATAATGCATACGCAAATACATATATATATATATACATATATATATATATACATACATACATACATACATACATATACATATACATATACATACGTACACAAATGAATAAATCTATATCAAGATGCCATCCATGACAACAGAGAGTCCCATCATCATCTTCTTCATCAATGATGGAATCGATCTCTGCACATGACTCCTTCTGGTAGATCCATTGCGCGCAGCCAAACTCACTTGGAAGGTAATCCCACTTACTAAGTAGATGATCATCACCCTTATGTCTCAGTAAGTGGATTCAAGTGGATCATGATCCCCGTTCCTAGCCTTTGACTACTTGGCTTTACGTCAAAATGGGCGCCAAGAAAATTTGATGGTTGATACCAAAAACAATCAGGGAATCTGTTGCTTTTTGAGCCTGAAATTTCCGTTGGTCGAATCCCATTCGGTTGATAAATCTATATGCGTAATACATGTATACTGTATATACAGTATATACCCAAAAAGAGCCATACATAATTCTCCCAAAAAAAAAAGATGATCCAGTTGATCCCGACCCGGGCCTCGTAGCCCCTGAGTTCAGGCATCATCTTTCGACCTTCAAGGTGAGCGAATTTCAAGTCAGCCGCCGTCAGTTGCCCACACTGGGCGCGCTCCTGAGCGGAGTGGAAATATTCGAAAAATGGCTATGTCCCCAACAGCTGACATCCGCGTTCCAAGTTTGTGAGACCGAAACAAGCAAGTAGCCGCTGTTCCTGTCAGTGTCTAAGCTCGATCAAAAATGGCTCAGATCAAAAATGGCCCATCAACTCAAATTTTCCAATCCACGTGGGTCCCCGTGTCCAGAAGGCTCACGATCGTCAGCCTGACTTTCCCAATTTTGTTGATTCCATTCCAATTCTACCCGCATGAATCGTCAAATTATGGTGCCTATAAATCCACGTGCTCATCATTTTTCCATCTTTTTCCCATGAAAATGGCCAGCAATGGATACGGGGTATCCACACCCCGCAGCGCCGCGGCACCTGTCGTGCCACTTCTTCCAGCCTCAAGCGCTCTTCTTCGCGCGCCCGAGCTGCCAGGTCCTTCTCGCAACGTGCAGGGGACTTGCCTTAGGGCGAAGACGTGCCGAAAAAATGGGGGATACCCTCAACATGTCTATTTGATTAGGAAAATACGAGAAATTTATGATTAAGCTGTGGAGGAACCTGAAGAATCTGTCTCAGAAACAGCTGGCCTTTGTGAAAGAAAGCTGTTCAACGGGACTCCGCTGGACCAGTGTAGGGGAGGCCTGGGATTTAGACCATTGACACCGTTAGACAAGCGACCCCCACACCCACGACAGAAGTCTTCCTCCAACATGTTTGCAAGTGAACAGCTGCAGATCCATTGGCCCGGAGAGGGCAACTGCTTGTAGCACGCCTGGGGAATCACAACATGTCACAAACAAGCATATCTTTTCATGAGGCGCCAGAACTCGATTCTTGGCCGATCAATCGTGGAGCATAGGGCAGCTATGAGCCGTGAAGTGCCTTGAGATTCGGATCCTACAAAATGTTTTTTTGTTGGTCAACTGCATTCAATTCCCTGGAACGTTCCCGTGAACAAGTTTACTTCCCATAACCTTGTAGAGTCACATTTAGAGGTATACTACGATGTGCATCCCACTTAGTAAATGGCTCATAGCCATGGTTCGAACCCAGTCATACGTGGGAGATACAATGATAATGTATACCCCAGTTATCCCCCACTTATACCAGTTCTACCCCATCTACACTTGGGATACACCCCAGTGCCTGTTATACCACGGCTATGTAGAGGATAACTTCTCTGGCCTCGCGAAAATATGAGGAAGGCACTTCAGGGCAAGGCCACCTGGAACCACCAGGGTGGAAGGTCTTGATCCAAAGAATCCATAGCTATTTGAATCTCAATTCTCTGATAGGATTCGTCAGAGATTGGAAGATCTACCTCCCAAAGATGATACTGTTGTGGCTGTACGTCCATTGCGTCAACTTACCTTCGCCAATTCCATGCCATCTGAGCAGTGTCCAAAACCCTTTGTCATCCCCCTATACATACATACATTGGATTCCCATTATCGGTCATTATCGCTTAGTTCACAATCTCTAAAGAAAATCGGGTAGGTTAGTTCCGGTTATATAATAACCCTCTACTACAATCAATCAACAAGGGTCAACAGGTCAGTCCTCACATGACATCATTCCCACCTTGGCGCGCGAGCGCAAAGCATCTTTGGAGGCAACTGGTACTGTTGCCTCCGCCAATCACCTCATCCGTCAGATTTGGAGAAGTGAAGGATAGAAATGGACGTAAGTGCGGTAGAATAGGATATCTGCGATAACTCATGTTTGGGTCTTTTCTGGTCTCCAATGAGTCTCCAAGATTTTTACCACGACATATTTTGGCCAACCCTTCACGGGGGGAGCCAACATGGAAACCCTATCTGAAAATGAGAATCACGGGGATCGATCGGATCACGGTCGTGCAGAAAATGAGAATCCGGGCACGGCTCAACCCTCGAACCACACGCAAATCTGACTCCCCGAGCTTCTTACCCCGAATCGGATTGAAACTCATAAAGCTAGGGACTCCTTGGGACTCTGATGGTTTCCATTGGTTTCCAATACCTGGGACGCCCCAAAACTATGCCATTCGCCGAGGCGCCACTGCAGGCGCCCAAACCAGAGCGCTGCACTGCAGCGCTCTGGTTTGGGCGCCTGCGGTGCCTGTGGCACCTTGGGCACCGTGCCACTGAACCAGGACCACATGGCCAGCGTTTTGAGCCACCTGTGGCACCCTGGAGTCGGTGTTTCTTATGTGTTTTAATGGTTTTCTTAGATATCACTACAGTATGGTTGATCTGATGTTGATCTGTTTTTTGGAAATTTATATTCTTGATTTTTTACATCTGTTTCAATAGTTTCCTGAGATATTATAATGTGGGATAGCCAATCTCATAAAGGACGCCCAATTTTTGGGGGGTGGCATAAATCATTCCCAAATGGTAGTTGTGGCATTGGGTTTACTGGGTTTACCACATTTGTCAAATTCAAAATGGAAGAAGCTTGGAACTCAATCGTTAGGTGGGGACCGTTATGGTCCAAGTTGTCGTCAAAACATGTCAAGACTCTAACAATACCAACATGCTGCATATCGAGACCACAGCTCACCCCCACCAACGCCACCAACGCCTCAACGCACCGTCCCACGCCCTGCATTGGCAAGCACTCGAAGCTGCAAAGGCTGCAGCATTTTGAGTCATTTCAGAGACCCCCAGCAACCATCATTCCTTTTTTGGGATTGCCTAATTAAGTGGAGAAAGAGCGAAAAAGAATTTCTTGTCGTCGGCCAGGATAGAACATCTTTCAACATGGGTGTGTTTTCAGATCGTCCAACGGTACACGAAGCATTTTGCCAAGGCAACAAAGTGCTGGAACTCGTTGCAACGCCTCTATGCACAGCCACGCAGCTGGATTTCGCCGCGACGCTCAAGGCAGATTCAATTGGGAACCAGGGTCAAGCCATGGAGCATCACTACTTGATGCGATTTGCACAGTGGGGTTGCACAGTGGGGTTGCACAGTGGGGATGCTATATCATTTGAGGGTCGGGCCAAGTGTTAGTCGTGTGGAGTCGACAAGTCTACATCAGCTGATTTCAAAGACGGATGGGGGGCCCTTCGCGAGGCTCAACAGCTTCTCTTCTAAACAAGGACACAATGACACAATATACGCCAATACTATGGCACTATGGCAGCCCACTTGCAGAACTCATGGCTCGTGGAACGGATCGGGGCTCTGGTGACCTCATGGCTCGTGGAACGGATCGGGGCTCTGGTGACCTCTTCAGAACTGCGGCTGATGTCCTGCTTTCCATGCTGCGAAGCGCAGCAGATTGATGTATGCCTGCCAAAGAGCAGCCAGGGTTGAGATGGTTGAGCCATTGGGGCCATCTGGAATTTCCATCCAGAAGAGGAATCTATCCGTTGACCCTTGCAGCGTCTGTGACTCATTTCATCGGTGCAATTTGGAAAACCTGCCTCCGCACACCACTCAATGATTGATGTACATGAAGGGAGAATTCTACGCAACTCAGATCTACCTCCCATGAATTTCATAAATTGCCATATCGCATGGGACACCAGGAAACCATCTTCCAAACATGACCAAACCATACCCCACCCATTTTTTGCATCATTTCATGCGATATAGTTTCTGGGGGTACATCCCATCTACGGGACACGGGACATTGACACCCAACAATTGCCACGTGCCTCTGGTTTCCCAAGCATTCTGAGCCGCTACTTGCGGGTTCAGTTCCAATTATGATTGGATACATAATAGCTATAATTACCATGCTCACAGCCATTTGTTTTACCCCAGCTGCACCCCCAAGTAACTGAAACTGGCCATAAACAATGACCATCACGCGGTTGATCAAGTTGAGCTGGATAGCTAAGTTGAATCATCGCCTGGTTACCTAGGGTTTACGGGTACAGATATATTTAATGGGCTTTATTAAAAAAACTACCTTATAACTTATGAATGGAGGGTCTCACCTTGCAGGTGGAAATCATCCCAAGCTTGGTGGAAGCTACATGACATGTCCAAGCTGTCTCCTGGAATCTCCATGTCGACTACAAACTTGCTATAAACTCCCTCGTGTTTTTTCAAAAATCCCTTGTTTCTGCCTCCATCAACTGCCTCCCACTGCATCTTTCCCCGGCCTCATCATTGCCATCACGGTGCATCTTTGGCATCTCCTGTGCCGCATCCATCGTATCAAGGTCGCCAGGTACACCGGAATGGCGAAAAATCACTTTGCGGCTGCATGTTTTTCATACTTCATTCTTACTATGTATAGATATATATATATAATGCATACGCAAATACATACATATATATATATACATATATGCATACATACATACGTACACAAATGAATAAATCTATATCAAGATGCCATCCATGACAACAGAGAGTCCCATCATCATCTTCTTCATCATCAATGATGGAATCGATCTCTGCACATGACTCTCTTCTGGTAGATCCATTGCGCGCAGCCAAACTCACTTGGAAGGTAATCCCACTTACTAAGTAGATGATCATCACCCTTCGTCTCAGTAAGTGGATTCAAGTGGATCATGATCCCCGTTCCTAGCCTTTGACTACTTGGCTTTACGTCAAAATGGGCGCCAAGAAAATTGGATGGTTGATACCAAAAACAACCAGGGAATCTGTTGCTTTTTGAGCCTGAAATTTCCGTTGGTCGAATCCCATTCGGTTGATAAATCTATATACATAATACATGTATACTCTATATACAGTATATACCCAAAAAGAGCCATACATAATTCTCCCAAAAAAAAAAAGATGATCCAGTTGATCCCGACCCGGGCCTCGTAGCCCCTGAGTTCAGGCATCATCTTTCGACCTTCAAGGTGAGCGAATTTCAAGTCAGCCGCCGTCAGTTGCCCACACTGGGCGCGCTCCTGAGCGGAGTGGAAATATTCGAAAAATGGCTATGTCCGCAACAGCTGACATCCGCGTTCCAAGTTTGTGAGACCGAAACAAGCAAGTAGCCGCTGTTCCTGTCGGTGTCTAAGCTCGATCAAAAATGGCACAGATCAAAAATGGCCCATCAACTCAAATTTTCCAATCCACGTGGGTCCCCGTCTCCAGAAGGCTCACGATCGTCAGCCTGACTTTCCCAATTTTGTTGATTCCATTCCAATTCTACCCGCATGAATCGTCAAATTATGGTGCCTATAAATGCACGTGCTCATCATTTTTCCATCTTTTTCCCATGAAAATGGCCAGCAATGGATACGGGGTATCCACACCCCGCAGCGCCGCGGCACCTGTCGTGCCACTTCTTCCAGCCTCAAGCGCTTTTCTTCGCGCGCCCGAGCTGCCAGGTCCTTCTCGCAACGTGCAGGGGACTTGCCTTAGGCGAAGACGTGCCGAAAAAATGGGGGATACCCTCAACATGTCTATTTGATTAGGAAAATACGAGAAATTTATGATTAAGCTGTGGAGGAACCTGAAGAATCTGTCTCAGAAACAGCTGGCCTTTGTGAAAGAAAGCTGTTCAACGGGACTCCGCTGGACCAGTGTAGGGGAGGCCTGGGATTTAGACCATTGACACCGTTAGACAAGCGACCCCCACATCCACGACAGAAGTCTTCCACCAACATGTTTGCAAGTGAACAGCTGCAGATCCATTGGCCCGGAGAGGGCAACTGCTTGTAGCACGCCTGGGGAGTCACAACATGTCACAAACAAGCATGTCTTTTCATGAGGCGCCAGAACTCGATTCTTGGCCGATCAATCGTGGAGCATAGGGCAGCTATGAGCCGTGAAGTGCCTTGAGATTCGGATCCTACAAAATGTTTTTTGTTGGTCAACTGCATTCAATTCCCTGGAACGTTTCCCGTGAACAATTTTACTTCCCATATCCTTGTAGAGTCACATTTAGAGGTATACTACGATGTGCATCCCACTTAGTAAATGGCTCATAGCCATGGTTCGAACCCAGTCATACGTGGGAGATACAATGATAATGTATACCCCAGTTATCCCCCACTTATACCAGTTCTACCCCATCTACACTTGGGATACACCCCAGTGCCAGTTATACCACGGCTATGTAGAGGATAACTTCTCTGGCCTCGCGAAAATATGAGGAAGGCACTTCAGGGCAAGGCCACCTGGAACCACCAGGGTGGAAGGTCTTGATCCATAGAATCCATAGCTATTTGAATCTCAATTCTCTGATAGGATTCGTCAGAGATTGGAAGATCCACCTCCCAAAGATGATACTGTTGTGGCTGTACGTCCATTGCGTCAACTTACCTTTGCCAATTCCATGCCATCTGAGCAGTGTCCAAAACCCTTTGTCATCCCCCTATACATACATACATTGGATTCCCATTATCGGTCATTATCGCTTAGTTCACAATCTCTAAAGAAAATCGGGTAGGTTAGTTCCGGTTATATAATAACCCTCTACTACAATCAATCAACAAGGGTCAACAGGTCAGTCCTCACCTGACATCATCCCCACCTTGGCGCGCGAGCGCAAAGCATCTTTGGAGGCAACTGGTACTGTTGCCTCCGCCAATCACCTCATCCGTCAGATTTGGAGAAGTGAAGGATAGAAATGGACGTAAATGCGGTAGAATAGGATATCTGCGATAACTCATGTTTGGGTCTTTTCTGGTCTCCAATGAGTCTCCAAGATTTTTACCACGACATATTTTGGCCAACCCTTCACGGGGCGAGCCAACATGGAAACCCTATCTGAAAATGAGAATCACGGGGATCGATCGGCTCACGGTCGTGCAGAATCCGGGCACGGATCAACCCTCGAACCACACGCAAATCTGACTCCCCGAGCTTCTGAGACATGTATCAAAAAAAAATATAAATGCATCAAAAAAAAAATATCCAGCACGCATCAAAAAAAATATATATATGCATCAAAAAAAAAATATCCTGGTGCCACTGTGTGAGACCTCACGGGTTTCGTGCTGCAAACCTAGATCAAAAAAAAATATCCGTATCAAAAAAAAAATATCGTCGTAGTAGTAGTAGTAGTAGCAGTAGTAGTAGTAGTATAGGAGTAGCAGTTGTAGTAGTAGTAGTAGTAGAAGTAGTAGTAGTAGTAGTGGTAGTAGTAGTAGTAGCAGTAGCAGTAGCAGTAGCAGTAGCAGTAGCAGTAGTAGTAGTAGTAGTAGCAGTAGCAGTAGCAGTAGTCGTAGTCGTAGTCGTAGTCGTAGTCGTCGTCGTAGTCGTAGTCGTCGTCGTAGTCGTAGTCGTCGTCGTAGTCGTAGTAGTCGTCGTAGTCGTCGTAGTAGTCGTCGTCGTCGTAGTAGTAGTAGTAGTATGGTAGTAGTAGTAGTAGTAGTAGTAGTAGTAATGGTAATGGTAATGGTAATGGTAGTAGTAGTAGTAGTAGCAGTAGTAGGAGCAGGAGCAGCAGCAGCAGCAGTAGCAGTAGCAGTAGCACATAGGCACAAGTCTCGCTGGATATCAACAAAGATGAAATTAACCCAAATAAACGATGATGTTTATGCAAAAAGAAAGGAATAGTAGGTAGCAAGGGGAACCGGTTTAAAAATAAAAGCGGGTGGGGGGTGCAATGCGTACCAAGAGAGAAGCACATAGGCACAAGTCTCAATGGATATATTGCAAGTAAGAACGAAAAGATCAAGAAAGAAGCACTTAGGCACAAGTCTCGATGGATATCAACAAAGATGAAATTAACCCAAATAAACGATGATGCTTATGCAAAAAGAAAGGAATAGTAGGTAGCAAAGGGAACCGGTTTAAAAATAAAAGCGGGTGGGGGGGTGCAGGGGGGAGGGCGCAGCGCCTCCCCCCGCAATGCGTACCAAGAGAGAAGCACATAGGCACAAGTCTCAATGGATATATTGCAAGTAAGAACGAGAAGATCAAGAAAGAGGCACATAGGCAGAGGTCTCGATGGATATCAACAAAAATGAAATTAACCCAAATAAACGATGATGCTTATGCAAAAAGAAAGGAATAGTAGGTAGCAAGGGGAACCGGTTTAAAAATAAAAGCGGGTGGGGGGGTGCAGGGGGGAGGGCGCAGCGCCTCCCCCCGCAATGCGTACCAAGAGAGAAGCACACAGGCACAAGTCTCAATGGATATATTGCAGGCAAGAACGAGAAGATCAAGAAAGAAGCACATAGGCACAAGTCTCGATGGATATCAGCAAAGATGAAATTAACCCAAATAAACGATGATGCTTATGCAAAAAGAAAGGAATAGTAGGTATAGCAAGGGGAACCGGTTTAAAAATAAAAGCGGGTGGGGGGGTGCAGGGGGGAGGGCGCAGCGCCTCCCCCGCAATGCGTACCAAGAGAGAAGCACATAGGCACAAGTCTCAATGGATATATTGCAAGTAAGAACGAGAAGATCCAGAAAGAAACACACAGGCACAAGTCTCGATGGATATCAACAAAGATGAAATTAACCCAAATAAACGATGATGCTTATGCAAAAAGAAAGGAATAGTAGGTAGCAAGGGGAACCGGTTTAAAAATAAAAGCGGGTGGGGGGGTGCAGGGGGGAGGGCGCAGCGCCTCCCCCCGCAATGCGTACCAACAGAGAAGCACATAGGCACAAGTCTCAAAACAAAATGTGAGCGCATGGTTCATGTATGTTTTGGTATGTTTTGGTCACAAATCTATGTGGCTCTGACTTGCATCTCAACTCAGTATTTCTGCAACGGGTTCCGAACGAGGCCAAAAACGATGCCAAAACGAGGCCCGAACAAGGCCAGAAAATAGTTTTGGAACCCCCTCAGCTCTAGCAGCTCAGCAGCACTTTGCACGCGTCCCGTGGTGGCTGCAAGCTGCAAGTGTTGACTGCACACATGATCCTTCCTTCCTTCTTTCCTTCCTTCCTTCCTTCCCTTCGTTCCCCCCTTGCATCCTTCCCTCCTTCCCTCCTTCCCTCCTTTCCTCCTTCCCTCCTTTCCTCCTTCCCTCCTTTCCTCCTTCCCTCCTTTCCTCCTTCCCTCCTTTCCTCCTTCCCTCCTTTCTTCCTTCCTTCCTTTCGTCCTTCCCTCCTTTCCTCGTTCCCTCCTTCCCTCCTTATTTCCTTTCTTCCTTCCTTCCTTCCTTCCTGCCTGCCTGCCTGCCTGTCTGCCTGCCTGCCTGCCTTCCTTCCTTCCTTCCCTCCTTTTCTCCTTTCCTCCTTCCCTCCTTCCCTCCTTCCCTCCTTTCCTCCTTCCCTCCTTTCCTCCTTCCCTCCTTCCTTCCTTCCTTCCTTCCCTCCTTTCCTCCTTCCTTCCTTCCCTCCTTTCCTCCTTCCCTCCTTTCCTCCTTCCCTCCTTTCTTCATGGTCATTTATTTTTTTTGATGCATTTATATTTTTTTTTGATGCATTTATATTTTTTTTTGATGCATTTATTTTTTTTTGATGCTTCTCCCTACATTATGCATGAAATCACGCAACCAATCACACTGGCAACCATGAAATGAATATACTTGGAAAGCACCGATATTCAAATATATGTCATACAAATTTCATACAAAACCATTCAAAATAGCTGAGAGCTGACATTGCTGCATGATTCGACCAACAAAATCTTCGGGAGCACCTCTTCCCGCCGGCTTCTCGGTCATCACCCAAATACACGACGCTTTCTCCAACGTGCCATCCTGGAAATGTAATAAAATGATCAAAGGAAGTTGGGATCAAAGGAAGTTGGGAAGCAATCTTCCGAGTTACGGATGAGGTATAGTCTAGTGCAGTACCAATACATCACAAAACAATACATCACACAACATTACATCAGAAAAGAATACATCACATCACATATCATCACATTACACCACATAACACTTCATTACACAACAATACATCACATCACAATACATCACATCACAATCCATCACATGACAATACATCACAGAACATTACATCACATGACAATACTGCTGCAAAACCCATTGCAATTCTGCATGACTGTTGCAGGGGACTCGTGTTGGGGAGGAAGCCGGAGAGCGATACCTTCTGTTTTTCCGTGTGAAGTGGCTGCAGCCGGCGATGAAGGGTAGCTTGTGTGTGCGGCGGTTGCGGTTTGGATCGTTGTGGTTTGGATTGTTTCGGGCGCAATCGGTTCTCCCTTGGTGTTTTGCAACGTGTGGTTGTTCACGTGCCCGTAGTTCTATGCGCTTGTGGAATCCCTGGTTGCAGATCGCGGTGTAATGGCTGCATGAAGGTCGTCACCTTTTGTTGCCATGTGCGTACAAAGATGCCGGTTAGCCACGTGATGTTTGTGCAAGCCTTGTAATACAAGGTAGTACTGGGACGTGCTTTGTGCAAGCTTTGTAGTACAAGGTAGTACTGGGACATGCTTTGTGCAAGCTTTGTAGTAGAAAGTAGTCAAACTAGTACTGCAAGCTTTGTAGTACAAAGTAGTACTGGGAAGTGCTTTGCGCAAGCTTTGTTGTACAAAGTAGTACTGGCACGTGCTTTGTGCAAGCTATGTAGTACAAAGTAGTACTGGGAAGTGCTTTGTGCAAGCTATGTAGTACAAAGTAGTACTGGGAAGTGCTTTGTGCAAGCTATGTAGTACAAGGTAGTACTGGGAAGTGCTTTGTGCAAGCTTTGTAGTACAAGGTAGTACTGGGACGTGCTCCGTGCAAGCTTTGTAGTA